TGGTACCAGGTGTCAGAGGTTTTTTAAATATTTTATGGGTAAAGTCTTCTATCCATTAGTTCAACTTTTAAAAAATTTTTATTGAATTAGGAAAAAATTTTCATTATTTGTATAATCTAATGTAAATCCAGGAATCAATATTTGAGAAACACTATACTCAGGTAATAAAAAGACTAGATGATAGAAGGTTAAACAAATTTCCAGGAGTTGCTGGAGACGGATCTCGAGGCATGGGGGCCATTGCACTTTTGGCAAATGGCTGTTCATGGAAGATAGATTAATAGACTCATAAGAAGTAGAAATCACAGAATCCTACTTCTTCGTTTTGACAGATGATCCCAGAATAAGGAAGAAATTGTTGGAACCAAAAGGATGAACCGGTGGGTGAGAACTGCAGTTCCCAGTATATATACAGTTTACATATATAAATATATCCTTGTTGCTAATTTGTAATACCCAGAATCACACAATATTAGAGTGAGAAGAAACTGTCGCTGTCATATAATATAGCTTCTAAATTTTACATATAAGACAACTGAAAACTTAAAAGAGTAAGTAGCATGCCTGAAATTACCCAGTACTTAAAGAAGGAAGGCATGGAAATTAGAATCCAAGTATTCTGACTCCCATTTCAGTAATTTTATGTGGCACTATGGCATGGGAACCTTTTAAGTTAGCTACCATCTTAATTCCTCACAAAAAGGCTTCAGCTCAGTATCTAAAGTAGTAATATTGCATAAGAATTAAGCTTTGCTTTTCTTATGTAAATTAACAAAAAATAAGATTTGGCAAATTAAATGATTAACCAAAAGGATGAGAAAAGAGGACTTTTGCTTAGTAAAAGTAATTATCTGGGTAAATGATACAATTTATGAAAAATTAGAGAATTTCAGGATTAGAAGAAAACTTAACTAATCTATATACCCTGACTGAAGCTACCATCTACCCTACCCACCAGAAATGGCAATGATCTCCAAACCTTCTCTGTTTTTAGATTCAAAAACTGTTCTGATTTAGAAAAATAGAAGTTATCTTCTGAGTACTTCTATAATCCAGGCTCCAAGATAAACCTTTATTTAAAAGCCTCACAATAATCCTGTGAGTTAGGTACTATTGTTAACCCCATTTTACAGACAGGATCATTGAAGCTGAGAGATGTCAAGTGAGTTATCGATGTTTACGTTGCTTATACGAGACTGGACTTCAATATGCTTCTATACCCCTCATTTATGTCTATTATAGCATAATATACAGTATATTATAATATACTTGTCTATTAGAGCTTAATACACAGTCTAGCAACTCAGTGAACATGGCATCATAGGTTGCCATGAGGGCCCAGGATTCAGACTGGTTTCAAATCCAGCCTTTACTGCATATGAACTGTGTGACCTTGGAAAAATTACTTAACCTCCCTGTGCCTGCCATTTTCTTTCCTGTAAAATGTCAGTGGGATTATAAGTGTCTGGAATTTAGTAAGTACTCAATGAATATTAGTGATTATTACTAGTCGTTGAGAAGCCAACTTAAGCTAGACCTCCTGGTTGTCCTGGGCACAGCAAAATCAACTTAACTCTACCATCACGAATTCCCTATCATTAGACTCTTCTTCTAGTTGGAGGAAGCCTCTGTAGTACTTTTCAAAAGAAGTCGTGTATTTCTCCTGGGGAGGTGAACAGGCTCAGACACCTCTCCATGCCAGAATTTGCTTGGAAGTGTCAGCCATTGCTTTTCCCAGGAGTTATCAGTATAATTTTACAGATTTAAAAAAGAGAAATGTTTGAAGATAGTAACGAAATTGTCAAATTATAAATCAAACCAATATTCACTATTAGAAACTTTGAATATCATACTTCTAATCTAGAAACGTATTGTTTAGAGCAATGGTTCTCCAATGTGACTGGACATTAGCCTGGAAAGCTCTTTGGGTTAGGGTTAGGATGATCCAGAACCGATTACATCAGAATCTCTGAGGCTGGGGCTGAGGCATGAGGAATTTTTTGAAGCTCCACAGGTAATTCTTATGTGCAGCCAAGGTTGAGAATCACTGGCTTACTGCTACTGAGTTAAAAAAAAAAATTCTTAAAGTTGGGTCTGGAAATATGTACTTTCAAAAAAGTTGATGATTGCCTACACTGGGTCTCACTGGTTTGGAAAAGATAACACTCCAATAAAATAGCTGAGGGCCATGTTTACAGCTATAAAATCTGAGGAAACATTGCCAATGGAGCTTTCAGACAGAAAATATGTGGTAATATTTTGGATCCCAGGTTATGAAATTGAAAATAGCTTCTTAAAAATCTCCTTATTAACTAGCCTATAAACAACATATAGGAGTTGGGGTTAAAGGAGAACTTTAAATTTGTATTTTCCACTTTTGATTTACTAAATCATAACCCTTAACATTGAACCAACATAGTCTGTCTTTTACCTGCCAGGAATTATTTTCATAGGAAAATTGGTTGAAATTCAGCACTGATAATACAGACAAGATGGCACAAAAATCACAGCTATGTAGCAACCAAGCAAAAACAGTGCTGATTTATGAAACTTCACAGACTTACAAATAGAAACAAAGCACTAAATATTCATGAAATCCCATACAGTACTTTCACATGTTACATCTCAGTGATTTGTAACTTGGTTACAGGAAAAAATAATAATCTGAGCACATCCAAACATATTGAGCCTCTCGAGTGTTAAGTTTCACTAATATTTGGCCTTATTTTGTTTTGAATCATAAGTAAATTATGAATACACTGTAAATGGTTGACCATAAGCTAAACCTCCCAGAAAAAAGTAGAGAGAGATTTCATCAGCAAAACAACAGGGTAAAGATGGAATAAAACTCTTCTCTGATCACAATGCTTTTAAAACACGGCAGAAACTCTTTAAAGAAACAAAGACACAAGTGAAAGAAGCAAGTAAAATTCTGTCATTCGACAAAGCAATATCCATAAATGCTGATCATTAAGACTCTATGAAAACATAGAGTTAAAATGAGAAAATCTGTGCTTTGTATTCTTTGGATTGACTCTTCAGGAAATAATCTGATAGGCTAATACAACAATCAAGGGAATCTTAAATTTCATTGGGTTACCTTGCCAATTCTGGTCCCAGATTTATAAAATAATTATCTCAATTTTATTTAGCTATACTAATGACAGATGCAGATTTCAAACACAAACACTACACATAGAATTCACTTTTAAAGTGGAAAGATTAAAAGTATATCACAGGTGAAATCTAACTATTCAGCTCAAAACTATTGACGATGGTTCTCCTGGGGTCTGAGCAGCCCCAGACATCAGGTGGGCCAGTGGTTCTACACGTAGACACCAGTGCCCACCAGGGGCCACTTTCAAAATTACTGGGGACATTTTTGATTATGACAACGATCATAAGGGAGCTACTGGCATTCAGCAGACAGGAATCACGGGCGCTGGACGTCCTGCCATGCAAAGGAAAGTCCCACACAATGACGAGACATTTTACATCCTGGCCAATTTTCAGATATCCCTCTGGACATTCACATAACACCTGTTCTTAATCACCTAGTTTATATTTGGCTCTAATGCCCACCAAACATTTCAGCAATAATACTGTGTAAATTAAGAGAAGAAGGTATTTTGCTTTTTTCCCAGCACATTACCAGGAATAAACTTCATGACTTTGGAGAATCATCAACATCAATGCTGTTCATGTTACCTGAGTTGCCAGCAAATCACATCCCCATCAGCCTGCACACTCGCTGTTGTGTGTGGTTAATTCTGCCTGTGTTTATATATATATATTCTTATTTAGCCTTCAATTTGAAATATCAGATAGAAAATGTTTGCAATATGCCACTGAATACTGTTCTCTTATATCCAAACTTATTAATCAGGTAGGTGTAAGCATCTGACTACTTCATTATGCCTTTTGGAATGGTTGGACCCAAGCATTTACATATTGTAGTATGATTTTATTTTAGCTTGCTTTCCTTGGTTTCATATAATAATATAATTTCATTTTCCCTATGTATTACTCTTATGGCCATAATTTGATTATTTGTGAAATTTTTTTTTCAAAAAAAGAGGTTATATCATCTACAAATTTCATTTCAGGATGGTGATGGGGCACTATGAAATATCTGTTATAAAAAGGGAGTGCTGGGTCCAACAGAGTTGAGAACCCTGCTGTGGTCCAGCCCTGCATTTTCCAGAGACACAAAGAAACCTGCTCAAGGTCACACAGCTCACAGATGGGCACTTGGCTTCAGTTGTTCTTTTCCCTACACTAGGCTTTGAGAACTTCTCTCGGCATTAATGAAGCAACATTATGAACTGGGATAGCCAACAGCAACTGAGCACTTCTGTGCCAACACTGCATTAAATGCTATACAAGGACCATCACATGAACCCTCACATCAATCCTGTGATGGATGTTAGTGTGTCCGCTCCACAATTCCTCATTTGAAACTCTTCAGGCTGAGCTTCAGAACTGAGAAATTTTCCAATTTTGTAAAAGTAACAGGGTGCACACACTAGACATTATGCAATAGCCCCTTTAAGTACCCTATAAAAGAACACATTAATGCTTCTGAAGCAAAATGTGTAAGATTCACAGTGAGCTGGAGAAATCCTATACATTGCCTCATGGCAGTCGAAGTCAGGCTTACCAGCCACGTGACTTCAGAAGTCCCTTTTGTTTCTCAGAGTTTCTGAGATTTCTGACTTGTGGATCTGCATTGTTGTCCCCATTGGACAGATCAGAAAACAAAGTCTGAGAGGTCAAGTTGCCCACTCCCTGGGAAGTGGCTGAATCCAGAGCCCTTCCTCCTGCCCACCACACCAGCCAGCCTCTCTGAGAAATTCTGATGGGTAGAAAAACAAAACCAATCCAAAAAATCCCTAGAGCAATGTTTTAAAAATACACACAATTCTAACTTCCACTCCCTCCTCCCCAAACTTGGCTCAGTATCCCAGGGAGCAGATGATGTGCTGCCTGTCTGAACCCATTCACAATGGCATTTCACAACAAGGCCCCCTGAAGGAGGGGCCAGAGATGAGCCTCACAGCATCCTGCCAATGCTGTACTCTGCCCCGCCTGCCCTCCTCACCAGGGCCGCCCTGTTCTCCTGGGCTCCTGCCCAGCTGACCCGGCCTGAAGGGCAGCTGTAGCAAAGTACCTACATCTTTACAGTTTTCCGACTTGGAGAAGTGGATCAGGTCATCGTTGTACATGTCCTGGGTATTCAGCAGGTCACTATACTCTTTCTGGCTGAGATCTTCGGGGTTGATCCCGTTGGCCCTGAGGAATTCCTGGTATGCCACGCTAAAGGCCTGCCCGATGGACTGTGCGATCAGCTGGGCCTAGAAGAGCAGACAAAGAGGAAGGATGGTGGTCAACAGGGCAGCGATGCTGGTGGCTGGCCTGGGCTACCTTCCCATCTGGACGATGGTTCTCCTGGGGTCTGAGCAGCCCCAGACATCAGGTGGGCCAGTGGTTCTACACGTAGACACCAGTGCCCACCAGGGGCCACTTTCAAAATTACTGGGGACATTTTTGATTATGACAACGATCATAAGGGAGCTACTGGCATTCAGCAGACAGGAATCACGGGCGCTGGACGTCCTGCCATGCAAAGGAAAGTCCCACACAATGACGAGACATTTTACATCCTGGCCAATTTTCAGATATCCCTCTGGACATTCACATAACACCTGTTCTTAATCACCTAGTTTATATTTGGCTCTAATGCCCACCAAACATTTCAGCAATAATACTGTGTAAATTAAGAGAAGAAGGTATTTTGCTTTTTTCCCAGCACATTACCAGGAATAAACTTCATGACTTTGGAGAATCATCAACATCAATGCTGTTCATGTTACCTGAGTTGCCAGCAAATCACATCCCCATCAGCCTGCACACTCGCTGTTGTGTGTGGTTAATTCTGCCTGTGTTTATATATATATATTCTTATTTAGCCTTCAATTTGAAATATCAGATAGAAAATGTTTGCAATATGCCACTGAATACTGTTCTCTTATATCCAAACTTATTAATCAGGTAGGTGTAAGCATCTGACTACTTCATTATGCCTTTTGGAATGGTTGGACCCAAGCATTTACATATTGTAGTATGATTTTATTTTAGCTTGCTTTCCTTGGTTTCATATAATAATATAATTTCATTTTCCCTATGTATTACTCTTATGGCCATAATTTGATTATTTGTGAAATTTTTTTTTCAAAAAAAGAGGTTATATCATCTACAAATTTCATTTCAGGATGGTGATGGGGCACTATGAAATATCTGTTATAAAAAGGGAGTGCTGGGTCCAACAGAGTTGAGAACCCTGCTGTGGTCCAGCCCTGCATTTTCCAGAGACACAAAGAAACCTGCTCAAGGTCACACAGCTCACAGATGGGCACTTGGCTTCAGTTGTTCTTTTCCCTACACTAGGCTTTGAGAACTTCTCTCGGCATTAATGAAGCAACATTATGAACTGGGATAGCCAACAGCAACTGAGCACTTCTGTGCCAACACTGCATTAAATGCTATACAAGGACCATCACATGAACCCTCACATCAATCCTGTGATGGATGTTAGTGTGTCCGCTCCACAATTCCTCATTTGAAACTCTTCAGGCTGAGCTTCAGAACTGAGAAATTTTCCAATTTTGTAAAAGTAACAGGGTGCACACACTAGACATTATGCAATAGCCCCTTTAAGTACCCTATAAAAGAACACATTAATGCTTCTGAAGCAAAATGTGTAAGATTCACAGTGAGCTGGAGAAATCCTATACATTGCCTCATGGCAGTCGAAGTCAGGCTTACCAGCCACGTGACTTCAGAAGTCCCTTTTGTTTCTCAGAGTTTCTGAGATTTCTGACTTGTGGATCTGCATTGTTGTCCCCATTGGACAGATCAGAAAACAAAGTCTGAGAGGTCAAGTTGCCCACTCCCTGGGAAGTGGCTGAATCCAGAGCCCTTCCTCCTGCCCACCACACCAGCCAGCCTCTCTGAGAAATTCTGATGGGTAGAAAAACAAAACCAATCCAAAAAATCCCTAGAGCAATGTTTTAAAAATACACACAATTCTAACTTCCACTCCCTCCTCCCCAAACTTGGCTCAGTATCCCAGGGAGCAGATGATGTGCTGCCTGTCTGAACCCATTCACAATGGCGTTTCACAACAAGGCCCCCTGAAGGAGGGGCCAGAGATGAGCCTCACAGCATCCTGCCAATGCTGTCCTCTGCCCCAACTTGGCTCAGTATCCCAGGGAGCAGATGATGTGCTGCCTGTCTGAACCCATTCACAATGGCATTTCACAACAAGGCCCCCTGAAGGAGGGGCCAGAGATGAGCCTCACAGCATCCTGCCAATGCTGTACTCTGCCCCGCCTGCCCTCCTCACCAGGGCCGCCCTGTTCTCCTGGGCTCCTGCCCAGCTGACCCGGCCTGAAGGGCAGCTGTAGCAAAGTACCTACATCTTTACAGTTTTCCGACTTGGAGAAGTGGATCAGGTCATCGTTGTACATGTCCTGGGTATTCAGCAGGTCACTATACTCTTTCTGGCTGAGATCTTCGGGGTTGATCCCGTTGGCCCTGAGGAATTCCTGGTATGCCACGCTAAAGGCCTGCCCGATGGACTGTGCGATCAGCTGGGCCTAGAAGAGCAGACAAAGAGGAAGGATGGTGGTCAACAGGGCAGCGATGCTGGTGGCTGGCCTGGGCTACCTTCCCATCTGGACGATGGTTCTCCTGGGGTCTGAGCAGCCCCAGACATCAGGTGGGCCAGTGGTTCTACACGTAGACACCAGTGCCCACCAGGGGCCACTTTCAAAATTACTGGGGACATTTTTGATTATGACAACGATCATAAGGGAGCTACTGGCATTCAGCAGACAGGAATCACGGGCGCTGGACGTCCTGCCATGCAAAGGAAAGTCCCACACAATGACGAGACATTTTACATCCTGGCCAATTTTCAGATATCCCTCTGGACATTCACATAACACCTGTTCTTAATCACCTAGTTTATATTTGGCTCTAATGCCCACCAAACATTTCAGCAATAATACTGTGTAAATTAAGAGAAGAAGGTATTTTGCTTTTTTCCCAGCACATTACCAGGAATAAACTTCATGACTTTGGAGAATCATCAACATCAATGCTGTTCATGTTACCTGAGTTGCCAGCAAATCACATCCCCATCAGCCTGCACACTCGCTGTTGTGTGTGGTTAATTCTGCCTGTGTTTATATATATATATTCTTATTTAGCCTTCAATTTGAAATATCAGATAGAAAATGTTTGCAATATGCCACTGAATACTGTTCTCTTATATCCAAACTTATTAATCAGGTAGGTGTAAGCATCTGACTACTTCATTATGCCTTTTGGAATGGTTGGACCCAAGCATTTACATATTGTAGTATGATTTTATTTTAGCTTGCTTTCCTTGGTTTCATATAATAATATAATTTCATTTTCCCTATGTATTACTCTTATGGCCATAATTTGATTATTTGTGAAATTTTTTTTTCAAAAAAAGAGGTTATATCATCTACAAATTTCATTTCAGGATGGTGATGGGGCACTATGAAATATCTGTTATAAAAAGGGAGTGCTGGGTCCAACAGAGTTGAGAACCCTGCTGTGGTCCAGCCCTGCATTTTCCAGAGACACAAAGAAACCTGCTCAAGGTCACACAGCTCACAGATGGGCACTTGGCTTCAGTTGTTCTTTTCCCTACACTAGGCTTTGAGAACTTCTCTCGGCATTAATGAAGCAACATTATGAACTGGGATAGCCAACAGCAACTGAGCACTTCTGTGCCAACACTGCATTAAATGCTATACAAGGACCATCACATGAACCCTCACATCAATCCTGTGATGGATGTTAGTGTGTCCGCTCCACAATTCCTCATTTGAAACTCTTCAGGCTGAGCTTCAGAACTGAGAAATTTTCCAATTTTGTAAAAGTAACAGGGTGCACACACTAGACATTATGCAATAGCCCCTTTAAGTACCCTATAAAAGAACACATTAATGCTTCTGAAGCAAAATGTGTAAGATTCACAGTGAGCTGGAGAAATCCTATACATTGCCTCATGGCAGTCGAAGTCAGGCTTACCAGCCACGTGACTTCAGAAGTCCCTTTTGTTTCTCAGAGTTTCTGAGATTTCTGACTTGTGGATCTGCATTGTTGTCCCCATTGGACAGATCAGAAAACAAAGTCTGAGAGGTCAAGTTGCCCACTCCCTGGGAAGTGGCTGAATCCAGAGCCCTTCCTCCTGCCCACCACACCAGCCAGCCTCTCTGAGAAATTCTGATGGGTAGAAAAACAAAACCAAACCAAAAAATCCCTAGAGCAATGTTTTAAAAATACACACAATTCTAACTTCCACTCCCTCCTCCCCTAATTGTTGGGAAAAGCAGCTCATTAGCAGTGATACCAGAACTTTCTGTGTGGCTGGCCATGGGAAAAGGAATGTTTAACTTTTCTGAGAATCTGGTGACTTCACATGCTACAGGTCACATCAGAAACCACCACTACTATGGAATGAATTGTGTCACTCAAATTTTAATGTGCTGGAGGCCTGGTCCCCACCGTGACAGTGTTAAGAGGGTGGGAAAGCCTCCTGTGATAGTTGAAAGGTAAGACCTTGGAGGGGTGATCGGATTGTGAGGACAGTACCCTCGTGGATACACTGATCCATTTTTAGAATAATGGGAGTGGTTCTAAATATTCACTTTTGGAACTTTCTGAGGACCTTATAAAAATCTGTTTTCTCCCAGTTTGCATGTCTGGCCTCAGTTTTAAAGCAAGAGCAGGAAGAATGTCAGGGAGAGGGATTTTAGGTTCCTTGGCTTCTCGGCAACCTTGTCCTGGGACTGTTTTCTAGAGAACCAGGCCAGTAAAGGAAGGCGACAGTAAGTGTCAGCATCTCCTCCTCTCTGTGGCCACAGCCATGAAAACTCTGGTTCCCCAAAGAGCAGGACTGCCTCTGACTCCTGACTTCTTGGAGGAAGGCAATTTACTGCAGCTAGGTGAACACTGCACTGGAAGAAAAGAGCCTCTTTTAAGAAGGCTATACCACAAGCAATTTTCTTTTAAGCAGGTAAAGGCTCACTGCTCCATACGAGAAACAGAGATTATTCTGTGGCACGAGGAAAAATTAGCACAGTCAATGGTGCTGACATGGTCTCTTTTAAGAAGGCTATACCACAAGCAATTTTCTTTTAAGCAGGTAAAGGCTCACTGCTCCGTACGAGAAACAGATTATTCTGTGGCACGAGGAAAAATTAGCACAGTCAATGGTGCTGACATGGTCCTCTGAAGAAGGTGGGCGGGGGGACCCGCCATTCAAAACCATTGTGGGTCTGTGGCCCACCCTGGAAAGGAGCTTCCCAGGCCTGCCAAAGCCAAAGCCGAAGCCGAGGGAGGTGAGAGCCTGGGAGTAGCTTGGGTGCTAACGCAGTTTGCAGCCTGGAGGCCTCACGGGCAGATCTGGAGACAATCCTGGAAGAAGGCCAAATGAAAGAATGGCCTCTGTGGAAAACTAGTGTTCTCTGTTGACCTCATCACCTGGAGAAATGAGGATGAGGGGTCCCTGGCTCTGTGCAGGAGGAGGAGCTGCTGTGCACAAGGACGGGGCGGGGTGGGCTGCGCCCCTGCGTCTGCTGGGGAGGGCAGGGCAGTCCTGCACAGCAAAGAACCGCCCTCCCCCAGCGCCAGCCCCCACAGGGCTGGCTGAATTCTCACCCCCCACCCCTCATTCCAAGCCCTCCAGCAGCTCGGCCTCCTTTCCCTTCCTCGAACCAATTCAGAAGGCCCTGCCCTGGGCCCCTGCACTGCTCTCCCCTCGTTCTCAGTTTACTCAGGCCTCTGCTCAAGTGCCACCTCCCCAAGAAAGGACCTGGTGGACGGCTCCACCTGAAATAGCCTGTCCCTCTATCCCCTGGCCCTGTTTTTCCATATAGCACTCCCCACTACCTAAGTTTATATTAAGTGTATTTATTTTCTGTCTCCCCTCAACCCTTATGAGCACCTTGTCTGTTTCATTCAGCCTTATCTCATATCCCTAGCACTACAAAAGTGCCGGACATACAGGAGGTGATCAGTGTATGTTTAATGTATAATGAATGGGACTGATTCAGATTCCGAGAAATCAAGAGAATCTGGCCACCCAACCGCTGCCCGGGCCACCCAACTGCTGCCTGGGTCACCCAGAAGGAGATCGGGGAAGCCACCCTTACGTCTTCAGACTCAAAGACGTGGCAGATCATTTTGTACTGCCGCTTTCCATCCTGGGATGGGTGGGAGGCTTCCACGTTTTCCTGCGAGTTGGAGCGGGGCATCCGCCGGCGGGCCATGAGCACCACGATGTTCCCGATGTCTGCGATGTAGGAAATGGTCCTCAGAGGGTGGTCCATCATTGTCTCCTGGAGGCAGGAGGAGAGGGAGGTAAGTCTTGAGCAGCATCTAACGACCCACGAGGAGCCTACCACCTTCAGCCCAGCCAAGCACAGTCCATGTGTGGGTGGGCTCTGGGACCAGCTGCGAAGGCCTCGCTGGAGATTATGTATACCGACCCAGGCCTGAAGGCACCTCCCTTGCTACCCAAGAGCAGGAAATGATCTGTGGCAGGTGAGAAGAAATAAGAACTTTCAAATGTTTTACAACCAGTGGTGGGTTAAAAAAAAAAAAAAAGAAGAAAGAAAATATCTAAATGGCCTGGTTTCGTGTGTGTGTGTGTGTGCGCGCGCGCGTAAAAAAAAAAAAAGAAGAAAGAAAATATCTAAATGGCCTGGTTTCGTGTGTGTGTGTGTGTGTGTGTGTGCGCGTGCGCGTGCGCGTGCGCGCGTGTGATTTTTAAACAAAATATCTCAAAAGGCTAATCTGTCCAAGTTAATGAACAGATAAGAATTTAGGAGAATGATACACATCCGTGTTCTAGCTTTTCCTTTGTGCTTTACGAAGACAGTCCCAAGCACCTCCCAGCAGCAGGCACTACAAACGCAACCTTCTGGCTTGTATGGAACCCAGTATCTGGGGATGGCTGCTCTACAGACACAGGCAGTCTCTGGGTTGCAGTGCCACTACACTTCACCCCAAGAAAGGTGTGAGCCAGCTGATACCTGCGTGTCGGCATTCAACACCTTGATTCTCTGGGTAGAAATGAAGAGATCCACTTCGGTCATTGGCTGAGATTCACCTTCAGGAGCCTGAGAAGAACAAAGCACCGAAAGAAAGTTTTACTATGTTACCCTGACCCAGATGCATGGGAGCAAGGTTAGCTCACACACAGGCACCAAGACACAGTCACCAGAACGGCAACGCAGACTCTAGCATTCAGCTGCCAAAGCCAGGTACCACACAGAGGATGGATACATGGACAAGAGTCACCATCTCTAGGCCACAGGGAAAAATGCAGAATCCCCCATGCTTCCTCCCTTAGAGAAGCAGTAACTCACTGCAGTAGACTCAAGGAGTAGAGGCAACCAACTTGTACCCAAGGACCTTGCAGAAGTCACTTAGGGCTTGCCCCTTCTTGGACTGATGGGGAACAATATTTATAGCAGGTGCAAATGAAGCCATTTGGATGCAGTTCTGGTAAGAGGGTCTTCATGTTCACACACCACCACAGCGACACAGAAGCACTTGCCAACTCCTGCCACCCCATTAAAAAAGAGCCCCAATGCCACAATGTCCCAGGAGTAGTTCATAAGCACCTAGAAGCTCCACAACCAAAAAAGCACAGTCTGGTTCATTTAGGGATTAATTACACACACGTGTGGTTATTAGCGAGTTTTCTTTTTTGCATCCAGCAATCTGACAAATCCACAAATCAATCATAACTATAGTTGAACAGACCCAAGTCCCTGACATCAATGCTCCTGAGTGGTTGGAACTTTCACACTGGTTCATGGTTCATTTAGCATCTCCAATCTGCTCCCTGTCGTTCCTCTGAAGTGAAATGACTAATGAGCAACAGAAAACGGCCACTTTAGGCAACTGAGTTTTGAAAGACGCTGGCTTATGGGGCGGTTCAAAAAGAAATCTGAACAAAAACTTGCTGGATGCAGAAAACAAAAACACAAAATAATAAAAAGGCAAAACATAAACAAAAGAACAGGCATAACACCAAGCTGCTGAAGTTGTTTGTACTGCACCTTCTTCCTGCTTTTGGCTAATTTCTGGGCCATCTGCTTAGCATGGAACAAACAGAGACAGGAGAATAGTTAGAAAGGAACTTGCAGAGATTCAAAGTTGAAAAGGGAATTGACAAACTAACACTGATTAGTGGTATAAGGCATTTTGTGGGAGGAGGACTGGCTTAAAAAAATCCCACTTTAAAGACAAATTCCTAATTCAGAATTAGCAGGTGGTGAGGGCAGTGAGATGAAGGAAACATATTAAGGTGCTTCTCTTATACTTATCTGCAATTTATCTTTAAGAAAAATCAACTTTTGGTTCTATTGACTTTCTTTACTGTATGCCTGTTTTTCTATTTCATTCACTTCAGTCTAGATCTTTATCTCTTTCTACTTTCTTTGGATTTGCTGATTTTTTTCTGAGCATCTTGAGATAAAAACTTAAATATGGCTTTTCAAACTTTTCCCCCACCCTGGGATTTTAAAGCTATGAATGTCCCTCTAAGCACTGCTTTGGCTGTATCACACTAATTTCGGTACGTTGCAATTTAATTATTATTCCATTAAAACATCTTCTCATTTCCACTGTGATTTCTTCTTTGAACCTTAGATTACTTAGAATTGTGTTATTACTTTCAGTGCATTTGGGGATTTGCCAGTAATCTTTTTGTTATTGATTTCTGAATTAATTCCACTGTGGTCAGAGAACATATTCTGTACAATTTCAATCTTTTGCTGAATCATAGCTGAATGGCCCAGCTGAATGATTAACTCAGTGAATGTATCATGTGGACTTCAAAATATGCATTCTGCAGTTGCTGGGAACAGTGTTTGATCAATGTCAATTAGGTCAATTAAGTTGGTTAAGAGTATTGGTTAACTACTCTGTGTACTTGCTGATTTCCTTGTCTGCTTATTCTACCATTTATTGAGAGGTATGATAAAATCTCCATCTGTTACTGTGGGTTTGTCTATGAATCCTTCTGGTTCTGCCCATCTTTGCTTTATCTATCTTGTTGCTATGTAATAAGGTGCAAACACATTTAGGATGTTATGTCTTCCTGTTGAATTGATCCTTTTATTTTTCTTCTTTATCTTGACTTAAATTTTTACAGTATTAATATAGTTTATATCTAATGAAGAACGGATGTAATAGTCCCCTTTTGCTTATAATTAAAAGACAGCACAGTTAATAAAAGCAGAGAGTGTGGGGCTGGATTGTCTAAAACTGAATCTTGGCTCTGCCACCTACTAGTTGTGTGACTTAGAGCAAGCCACTTAACGTTTCTGTGCCTCAATTTCTTCATCTGTAAAACAGTATCTACCTCATAGGGCTGGTCTGAAGATAAAATGAATACACGCAAAGCATGTGCCTGGGGCATTATGAGCACTACATTTGTGTTTGCTATATGATTATAATTTACTTATGTCAGGATGCAATTTCCTGGCTTTTGGTAAGGCCTGCTGTATATACAGATCTTGCACAAATATGGGTGAATCAAAGGCCAAACTGTGGACGCTGTTGTGGTGATGGGTGGGGTGGAGGGAGACCTGTTCTCTCACGTTCCCTGGTACTCACCTGGTAGAAAAGCTCTTTTGCTCTCAGCAGTGCATCTCTATTTCATTAATGACTAAAATCTGTTGCCTGTGCTGCCTCACTGTAGAGAAACTGGATGAGCCATCCATCCAGACACCCAGTAGCTAATCTCTGATACGCCCAGGAAACCAGGGCCGGACTATTCCACACGGCCACCCCACAGCTCTGACTAGGGGTCATGAGTTCATGGTGAACAGTCTGCTCTGGAAACACTGGCAGGCAGCAACTACAAGTGTTATCCTAACTACCGTGCATCACAGTGGAAAGATTTCTGCATCTAAGGAGTGGCCCTGAGCTGATGTCACACCATGCCATGCCATGCCACGCCACACAGGTTCCTGTGTGGAATCCCAGAGTCCTGCCAGGAAGGTTTGGACCTGCCTTGGTTATAACTTGAATGACAAATGACTGCTGTGAGATCTCAATGTTCGTTTTCTACCCCCTCCCCTGAAATGACATGGCAGTAATGTAGGAATTTTTCAGTAATTTTGATACCAAACCTAAAAGCTGTTGGTGAAAATTTTTCAACTCTAGGGAACTGTGCTTTGAAAAAACCCTTTCAAAGGAAAACAGCTCCACTATCAATGGAATACCCAAATTCTGGAGTTTTTTTGCTAGAATTGATGATGAAGAGGATCCAAAAGGCAAACTGAGTTTCAGGAAAGGTATCCTAAAATAATTCTTATGAAACTAAAAATATTTTATGCACTTAGAGGAATACCACCTTTAAATCACTTATGATAACCAACTGCCCTGAGACAAATTATAATTTAAAATCTAGAAATAACATTGAAAAAGATGAGGGGGGAGAAACCAGAATGAGACACTGGAGCAGCAGAAAGAGGTTCAAGAGAAAAACATAAGGCCAGCATGCACCTCAAAGCAAGGAATGACAACATCCACTTAAATCCTCACGTTGCATGGGACTGGCCATGGCTTACCACCCAGCGGGGGTGTGCTGCAAAGGGTAAACTGAGGCACCATCCGTCACTCACTCAATCCACAATGTATACTGAGTATTTACTGTTACTAAGACACTCTAAATAGTCATGCTAGGGATCCTTCCGACTGTTCTATCCTTTCTCACCTCAGCTGACATTTACTGAGCACTTTTCATGTGCCAGTATCCCTCTAAGCACTTCACATATATCAACGTAAAAGCTTACAAAAACCCAGTGTGGTAGGCATATTATCCCCAGTTTTCAGAAAAGGAAAATAAGGCACAGAGAAGCTAATTAACTTGCCCAAGATCACACAGCTATGAAGTGGCAGAATAGATTCAAACCCAGGCAATCTCACTCTACATGCCAAGCTACTAGTTGTACAACCTGGGCATGCTTCTCATCTGTCAACTTCTCAGTGTGTCTGTAAAATTGGGCTAATAATACCAATAATACCGATACTACCTCACAGGATTCCCTACCCTAGCTACTAGTTGTACAACCTGGGCATGCTTCTCATCTGTCAACTTCTCAGTGTGTCTGTAAAACTGGGCTAATAATACCAATAATACCGATACTACCTCACAGGATTCCCTACCCTATCTATTTTTTTTTTCCTTTTTGTCTTTTTTCGTGTCTGGCAACGGATCGCAACCCTCAGTGTCGCGCCCGTACCGGACCGGGACCGGCAACGGGATCGCACCCCTCGGTGTTGCACCCACACCTCGCTCAGCCAGCGAGCGGGAACCGGTCTGTATGTGGGATCCGAACCCTCGGTGGGAGCGCCTCCGCGCTCCCAAGCAGCGCACTGTAGCAGTGCGCCACCGGGCCGGCCTGTTACCCTATCTACTTTGAGGAGTGAATGAAGTAACGTATGTGACGGGCCTGATGTAAGTGTCAGTGTCCTCTTTACTGACTGTAGACTTCTTCAAGCAAGATGGGAAATGGCATGACTCAGACAAAGCTACAATGATAAAAACTTTAATTATACAATGAAATCATAATTTTTAACATTGAAAAGGAAATCAAAAAAGAATGGAAAAATCTGTTCTTTGTGATATAAAGAATATTTGATAATAAATGCCCTTGAAAAAATGCACGGACCACAAAATACAATGGTACTTCGAAAAGTTTATGGAAAGATTTGTATGATTTTTGAACTCAATTTTTCCATGAACTTTTGAAGTACATCATACCTAAACACCACATGGGACATAATTATATGAGCTTCACAAATAGGGCAAGAACAGAGACAAAGACACCGCACCCAGCATGGAGAGTGTCTCAGCAGGTCACCTGGTCTTCTGATAGAAAAGCAGAGAATGAAGCGGGAATGTGGGTGGAATGTAAGGATGGAGATGTCGTGGAGAGAAAGGAAGACAGGGCGCTTGCTGCACTGGCTTCAAGTTTGGTTAGATAAGAAGCAAGCAGGATTCCCACACTGTGGGGGAGAGGTGTGTTCCATAGGACAAAGCTCTCTCCAGAATTTTCTCCCAAAACATGTTCCAGAGGATACTAGCAACAAGACATGAGCAGGTATCCCACAGTGATGATGTATTCTGTGCTCAAATAATTACGGGAGCTGCTGGTTAAACAAAGTGAACAAGATCTCCTTAGTACAGGACTTCTCAGAGCCTTTAAGAGGAAAACATGTGGCAAATATCCAAAAAGGAGATGCATTTTGTAGTGTTTCCTAAGCTTATTTGCCAATGGAACCCTACCAGAAATGAGCACTTGTCTTGACTATAATGCTGCACAGTACAGGTGGAGAAAAGATGCTCCCTAATGCTGGATGGTCCACCCTGTGAAAGGCAATGGTCCCCAAACTGTAGTGCACATCAGAACTTCCTTGAGGGATTGTTAAAACACAGATTCTTGGGCCCCAGATTCTGGGGTCAGGCCTGAGAATCTGCATTTTAACAAGTTTCTAGACAATGCTGATACTACTGATCTGGAGATCACACTTTGAGAACCACTGCTCGACTGCATCTCCCTAAGGTAGATGGGGGCTTCCTGGAAGGATATTATTTCTTCTCAAAAATAATAAGAAAGGCAGAAAGGACACATTAGGGAGGGATGAAAGATGGAGAAAAAAATAAAAACCCAAAATGGCAGATGTCTTCTAATTCGGCTATTGTGCTCAGACATGCTTTATTCCTTACATTTTGGTAAATGGAAAAATCTTTTAATTTCAGATTCCTCAGCTTGCCTTGTATTATTGCTACCTAAACATTCTTTTTGGCTCCTTTTTAGAATGCAAGTTTCTCAAGGTCAAGGACTGTGTGTATGGGTCAATTTTTCACTCCTAAAGTGTCTAACACAGGAGTCTGCAGAGGAACAGCTTGCTTTTTGAGCCAAATTCATTTGTTTTCTTCTTGCATTCAGCAGAAAATGCCTGGCCAAACCATAGCTCCAAATTCTCTCTCCATTTGGCAAATGAACCTGTAAATTCTTTGTTAAATTAAGCAAATAGCAATTCTCAAAACTCCACATGTAAATCCAGTGAGCAATATTCAATTCTAGTATACACTTGGTGCTATGTGAGTGACAGACACCACAATCAACAAACAGAACAGAAATTAAAGACTGTTTTGAAATGGAAACCTAAGCTTCAGGGTCAGCGTCTGCTCAAAGATAAAGCACAGCAAACAGCAGGATGCATGCACCGTCAGTATTTCTTCCACCCACCCGGGCAAACAATGTAGGCAGAGGAAAGAGAGAGGGGCAAATTGGGGATCTCTGTGGGGAGTGAGGGAGGAAGAAGGAATCAGAAAACGAAAGGAGAAAACTATTCCACCTTTGTTTAGGTGAAAATACAAAGTCAGAAATTACTAATCAGCTGATCATCTTGGGGTGAAGAACAGAAGGAATCAGAAAACGAAAGGAGAAAACTATTCCACCTTTGTTTAGGTGAAAATACAAAGCCAGAAATTACTAATCAGCTGATCATCTTGGGGTGAAGAACACTGCTAAATGGATTGCAAAATAAATTCATAGAGGGCCGGCCTGTGGCTCACTCGGGAGAGTGCGGTGCTGATAACATCAAGGCCATGGGTTCGGATCCCGTATAGGGATGGCCGGTTCGCTCACTTGGGAGAGCGTGGTGCTGACAACACCAAGTC